TTTAACAAAAACCCAGTTTTCGATAAGTTGGAGTTTCAAGCAGGAAAACACTTTGCTGATCAGCTGATAATGCTGAATTTCACTCGACTGCCAACGAATGCCAGTAACAAGGTGACCGTCGATGGCGTTCCAGTGAATACCACCTCGCGCACAATGTTCCTTCAGTCAATTCACGCGCCTGGTATTACCATTACACTGGATATGCCGCAGAAGGAGGTAATCACATTTCACTACTGGATCGTTAGTGGAAAGTGCAGTGAACAGCTGCTGAAGAAAAACATGAAACAGTCGATTATTTATCTGTGCCAGAAACACTAACGATCGAGAATAAAGAATGCTTGTTCACAACTTTACTTTTTTAATAAAAAAGGGTTTTTTTGACCTGAATGTAGAACAGTTTATTTGGTGTGTGAGTATTACGTCATATGATAACCAAAACAACAAGAAAGAATAACCAGTCGTAAAATTGGGTGATTGTGAAACAGTAACAGTACTTGGCAATGATTAGTTAAATAGATGATTTGATGGTTGATCTGATCAATCGGTTGGATGGAAGAATGGGGGAGAATGGGGTCGGTCACTCACTTTGGAAGTTCCTCATCATTGGCGGCGTTTTCGCTGTTTTCACTGCTGCTGTCACTCTTGCTGCTGTCACTTCGAGCTGGTTTGGAAGTTTTTCGTTTCTCCTCTTTGGCGTTCTCCAGTATGCGAAGCGTCTCCTTGTAGCCGAAGAAGGCGGCAATGTCCTTCGGAGACCGCCCATACGGGTCCACTTTGTGGATGTTCACTCTGACCACGTCAACGAGGTAGCGCACCACGTCCACTTGGTTCTTCTCGACGGCCTGTGATGGAGGAGACAAATAAAGACAATTATAAGCGAGAGTGATAAATAACACACATCACAATGTTTGTGGGGCTGGTGAATCAGTAGTGGTATGATGATTGTTTATTTGGGTCAATACGAGTTAGATACGAGTTTATACGGAATAGTGAGGGAAACTATAGAGAAGAGCGATTCCGTACAACAAACAAAGATAGACGGGTAAAAAATCTAAAGTCTAATACATGATGGTTAACACATGCAGTGCAACTGACTGGAAGAAGGTAACGGGAGATCACCCTAACTGACTGAAGAGATACATCTAAAGACTAAATAAATGGTAGAGTCAAAACAATACCACTCATTGATATGAGATAGGGGTAGGCGCTAGGCGTCAGGGGGGAGGATTAGAATACGGTCACATGAATACAACACAACACATAAGGTTGCATGTAGAAAGAGAACGATGGGGAGAGAATAAATAGAAATAAATAAACATGATCTGGTGATGAGAGAGAGAGAGAGAGAGAGAAAGAGAGGCACTGAGAGTTGCAAGGCACGGGTTAGTAATGTGGACTGTCAGAAGAATGGTGGCGACCAAAGAGGTTTAGAGTGAAAGAGGGTGTGTTTGTGTGTGTGGGTCAGGTCTCAATCATCATCATCATCATCATCTTAGCTGCGAGTGTGACATACAACGTGAATGCACTTTCGTCCAAAGCTGTCCCGCTCTTCGAGAGAGGAGCCGGCCACTCTCATCATCTGCAGCTTCGTTACTTGGCTGTTTGCAGCGGCACTAAGATTTCAGAGAGAAAGGGAAAAGAAAATAAAAAGATTAAATTGACAAGTCAAACATCAGTGTTTAGCACCACACCACCACCCCCAACTTACTTGTTGACCAGATCGCCAATTTTGCTCTTTGGCATGTCCAGCNTTGCGGCGGCACTAAGATTTCAGGAGAGAAAGAGAAAAGAAAAAGATTAAATTGATAAGTCAGACATCCGTGTTCAGCACCACCCCACCACCCTCAACTTACTTGTTGACCAGATCGCCAATTTTGCTCTTTGGCATGTCCAGCAGAGCGCCCGCCTTGATGAGCACTGCGGCAATCTCCGTGTTCTGCTGCTTGATGGCCAGGTGCAGCGGCGTGTCGCCATTTTTGTCCTTGGCGTGCACGTTCGAGCCCTCCGAGAGAAGGTACTGCACCGCCTCAATGTGGCCGTGGTTGACGGCAATGTGCAGCGGCGTGCGGAGGTCGTAGTCGTAGGCGCACAGGTCGATGCCGCTCTTCTTCAGCTCCATCAGACTGCCAATGTCGCCCCGGGCGGCGATGGCGCAGACAATGGCCGGGTAGAGGGCGTTTCGCAGAGAGTCCAGCTCCTGTCCGGTGGACACCTTCAGCGTGGTGGCGATCGCCTGCACCAGGCTGATGTCCTCGACGCGCTCGCGAATGACGCTCAGCTCGCCGCGCAGGTTGCTGCGCACCATCGCCCGCTTCTGCTCCAGGCTCCACTCGTCCTTGCTGAGGATGTAGGAGAGCTTCGCCAGACAGGCCTCCGGCGTCATGTCCTATGTAAATAAAAAATGAGTTTAATGCTTATTTATTTAAATAGTAACTCCCACTCACCGAGCCTGGAATGACGCCCGCCTCGATGAGCGCGTTGCCCGTCTCGTAGGCCGGGTCGACCTTGCCGTTGGGGCACTGGGTGATGTTGACGATGATCACGCCGCGATTCGTCGCCTGGCGGAACTCAGCTAACAGGTCGGTACGGTTTGAGGGGGCGTTGCCGGCGCCGTACGTCTGCAGAACCACGCCCTCGATGGGCGACTGAAGGAAGGCGCGGATCGTCTCGCAGCTGATGCTGGGGAATATCCTCAGCAGGGTGACATTTCGATTCAGCTTCGAGTGGACGTGAATCTTGGCAATGGCCGACGGCCTGAAGACGTTGCTCCAGTCGACGTTGATCTTGATGCCAATGTTGACTAGCGGCGACATGTTGGGCGAGTCAAAGGCGTCCAGGGCAGAGGCGCTCACCTTCGAGGTTCGATTGCCGCGGAAGAGTTTGTTGTTGAAGAGAATGGTCACCTCCGGAATGCAGTAGTTGCCGGCAATGATCAGCGAGTTCAGTAGGTTTTCTTTTCCGTCACTTCGCGCCTCAAAAAGCGGAATTTGCGAGCCACTGATAACAACCTGATGATTCATTTAAGAGGATTATAATTAGTAAGGTAAAAATCTTTCATTGATTTAGACATTTACCGTTTTTCCGAGATTTTCCAACATGAAAGAGAGCGCCGAGGCGGTGTAGGCCATGGTGTCAGTGCCGTGAAGTATGACGAAGCCATCGAATCGGTGGTACTCTCGCTTAATGTTCTGCGCAATGAGCACCCAGTCGTCGATGGTCATGTTCGAAGAGTCCAGCAGGGGATCGTACTCGTAGACGGTGTAGAGAATGCGCGACTTCTCGTTAGTTTCACTACAAATGAAAAAGAACCAGGTCAGTTGCAGGTAAACAGTAGGCCTTTGACAAAAACACTTACGGCAGCACGAGAAGATCAGCGTGTTCAGGGGTGTTGAAGTAGCGATTAAAGTACTCTTGATCATGCAGCTGAGGGTACTTCTTCAGCGACTGGCAAAAGGCGCTAGCACAGGGCTCGTAAACTGTGAATCGCAAAAGAAGGGTTTGAATGTTAACAAAAACTTAAACCTTTCTTCCCCACACTAAACCGCTTACCTCCTTTGTGGTTCTTCACCATGCCAATGGTGCCGCCGGTGTAGATGACCAGCACTTTGCTCTCCTTCACCAGCGAGCCGCGCGACTCGGTGCGGACGATGGAGTTGTTCTTGCGCAGAATCTTCGGCTCAAAGGAGTCATCGATGATGGGCCCGATGGCCTTCTGGTTAATCTTCCCGTTGGTCCCCATGGAGTAGAGGCTTAGGCGGCGGTGGGGGTCCTTGTGGATGATCGGCTTCGGGCGAGTGTTGGCCGTCCAGGTGGCGGAGTTGTTCACCTCGGCGTCAGAGTCGCCCGACTCGGAGTTCTCTGAATTGTTTTGATTATTTGGGTCGGTCATTGCGGCGAATCGGCGTTGGCGTCGGCGACGCGGCGGTGGCACGGGGCAAAAAAATTGAACGGAATGGGTGGAAATTGAACGGTGGCAGCACACACACACACAAACACAAAATTGGCACTACAAATCGAACAGAGCACACAGCAAGCACTGGTTAGGGCAAATTCGTGAAGTAATTATTACTGTTATTGACACGGTTCTGCTGGCGACTGAAGTGACCAATAGCAAGTGGAAGAGGAGAAGAGATTAAAGAGAGTGGAGGAGGTGGTGGCGAGGGGCACAATCTTTGCTTCGACATTAATGGACGATGTGGTGAATCGAACGGTATTCGAAAGAAGGCAACAGTGGAAGTTGACAGTGAACGACGATTGAGTCGAGAAAGAAACGGATAATAAATGGCAGATCTGGCTCTGGTATATCTTGAGCGATGGCTGGTTAGCAGGCCGGCTGGCGTTGGCTGATCGAAGAAGAAGCAAAGTAAAAATCGAAATAAGATGATGATATGAGAGAGAAGTTAGCTAGCTAGTGGCAGCAGTAGGTAGTTGCATCTGTCAGCGAATCAGCTCATCAGCGAGTCTTGTCTCGGTGGCCTCAGGACGTGCCTTTAAATACTCGCACGAGCGCGGCAGCCAGCAAGCTCATCTTCGGTGCACGTCCGTCCGAGGTGCACTGTCAGAGAAGGGAACGAGAGAAGGGAAGGGAAGGCAGGAGGAGGCAACGGGTGGCAGTGAAGACACTGCAGACGGAGAGACAGGCAGGCAGGGAAGTATGTCCGTATGGAGATGATGATGATGATCAGCACTGTCGACGAAGAAGAGCACAGTGAAGAAGAGTGCAGGGCATGCAGTGCGACAGTCACCTCGACTCTCTCATCTACGCTCCATGTGGACCTACACAGTGTGCTGTGTGTGTTTGTGTGCCTGTAAAGTGACTGCACTATTGCATCAGCCATCTCCTCGCTAGGCTTCAGCCGCCGACTTTCAACCGCCACCGCCGCCGTCGCCAAGTTTCCCTTCAATCATCACATGGTAGTCGTTAATTAGTGGTGGTGGTGGTTGTAGTGCAATCGTAGTGCTCATTGCACTGTACTGAACAGTTGCAGATGATCTCTGTACGAGCCGGGGCAGAAGACACTGAACAGAAGAGAGTGCAGGACTGTTGCTGATGCACTGTCAATGCAGGCTGTGCATTACGTCAGCCAATGGATGGCCGTTCAAGCGCACTGCTGGCGCCCAAATGACCCGATCATCAGAACGGAGAAGAGTGCAAAGGAGGATGAGCAGACCATTTGGTCACGCCTGACGCCTCTTTTTCTCACTCCGTAGAGTGGTGGTGGTCGTGGTGGTGGTGGTGCTAGAGGACACTGTGCCCCCTGCACGGCACTTCATCTGAAGATCGTCCGATGGTGTCACAGATAAAGTCACTGATAGTGGAAACTTACTGAGATGGGGAGAGTGGCAGAAAGGGGAAAGGGAGGGGAGGCACTATCTCCGACAATGGCGCCAGTAATGGGTAAGTGGTGTGAGTTGTAAGAAATGTGCCTCCGTGACCAATGATCATGGATGTCAGCCAGTGCTGGTAGTGGACATCGGTGAGATCTTCATCGTCGCCTTCGGGAGTGCTTTTTGTGCTCTCCTTATCACATGATGGGGGTGGTGGTGGTGATGGTGGGCACCGCAGTGCCACTGATGATGCTTCATTTCTCTGTCGATTGCCCGCCGACGCATGACTCAAACACTCCGCTCTACTCTTTCCTTATGTACAGGCTCTTTTGAGTTCTCTTTCTCTGTTTTCTCCGTTGCACCTCTTCGGTTTGTTTGCCTAAGATAGCGCTACTCATCAACACACACTGTGTGCGCTATCAGCGTCAACGAGGAAAAACTTCCGATTGTGTTTTAAGTAGTATGGTGTGTATGCTGTGTGTGATCGTCATCGCCATCGTCAGTCGAAGAGGTGCTTTCCCCCTCCTGCTTTCAATAAGCGCTGATGATCAGTTGATGCGCTCAGTTCGGCTGAAAACAGGCAGTGTAGGTGCAGCTAAAAAGAGCAAACAACAACAATAACAGGAGGACCAAGAAGAGTAGCTACTGATGCTGATGCTTCAGATGTTGAACTGTACTGATTTGTACTGTACGATTGTATCCCAATCAAAATGCTTATCAAAGTAGAGTATGCTGATCTGCGATGAAGTGTACCGCAGCGGACATTGCCGTCCTTAGGAGGAGAGAGTACTTCTGCCCAGAACTTGTGACGTCGAGGACATCGGCCGTTCGATTGTGACAACGGCGGTGGCAAATGCACTTGTCCTCAATCGAATCGAGAATTAAAAACATTTATTAGTCGTGGTGGCGGTGGTCGTGGTGTACACAAAAACAGACAGAAAAAACAAATAGATAGAAAAGGGAAAGGAGAGAGAGAAAGAATTGGAGAAGACAGAGGATAAGAAGTAGACATGCATCAGCACACACATACTCACTCATACACTCTTTTCAATGCATCCCCCTGTTGGTGTTGGACTATGCACTAGCAGGGCATGCACTTTGGTCGGCGGAGTGCCAAAAAAGTGTGGCAAACACCGGCGTCGGCACAACAGCTGTGTTCACACAGGAGCACCAGTTGTGTGTGTGAGAAAGAGTGAGTGTGCCTGCTTGTCGTCGGTGTTTCTGGCACCCGATCATCATCAGTAATCTCATGGTGGGGTGATGCCCAGGAGCTGCTGCTGCTGCTGCCAAAACAAAGGTGAAAACTGCTGTCACTGCTGCTGCTGATGAAGATGCTACTGTGCTGCTGCTGCTGCTTTTCACTGCATCAGATGCTCTGATGATCATCTCATTTGGCGAGCTGTGTTCTTATTCATTCAGTAAACAAGGAGGGTTCAGTGAACAGATTGCGGCAATCAGTCAATCAAGTAAGTGTTTGTGTGTGTGTTTGTGTGAGAAAAAAACAGAAAGTGGGGAAAAGTGCAAGCTTTGTTGGAGTTGCCAGTTAGCATTTGGTGATTTTTTAATCATCGAAAATTATAAGTCAGAAACGAGGTGGGTGAGGTGAGTGTGTGGGTGGATGTCAGTTGCTTTGCTCTGTCATGTACATGGGGAACAGTAGTGGAAAGCAGCGGAAGAAGAAAAAGGGGAAGAAGAAGAAGGTAGGAGGAAACGGGAGATAATCAGAGCAAAAATCAGAGGCAGCAGCAGCAGCAATCGGTCAGCGAAGTTTGGACTAGGACAAGGTGCCAGCCAGCCAGCACTGGTGCAGCAGATCAGTCATCAGTCTCTTTCATCAGTTCATCAGTTCGTGTCCGGTGGTTTTTTCTGTAAACGATTACCAGCAGCAGCAACATCAGCAGCACCGCTAACAGCACTACCACTTGACCGTGTGGCACTCGGGTGGCACAAGTGAAGTGGGTGATAAGAGCGAGCGCTCAATTTGCCATGAATGAAGGCACTGCCATTCATTCACACCAAACCAAAGTGGTCGTATCACCATCAGTCGGCATGCCATTCCATCTGTCTGTCCGTCCGTCCGTCCATCCATCAGTCAATTTAGATGATGTGCCCTCGTGAGACTGGTCACATCGACCACCCCTCAAAAGTCTGGTGACAGAAGCAAGAGCAGCAGCAGCAGCAGTGTCCACCAACAGTTGATGCGGGTTTTTACAGAGTGAAACAAGAGCGAGAGTCAAAACAAAGAGGGATCAGGAAAAGTTGAAGAAGAGAGAGAGAGAGCAGTATAAAACGGTCAACATAGAAAATTGTTCTTAACAAGAAAACGAATTAGATAAGAGAGACTAAATTAAATATGGCGGGAAGAGAGAGAGAGAGAGAGAGTATCAAATGGGAGAGAAAGAGAAAGAGAGAGAAGGGGAGCGGGAGAAAAGATAGGAAAAAGCCGTAAAAAGCAAAATAAGAAGAAAAAAAGAAGAAGCGATGATAGAACAGATTGCACATCGAGTGTCCTCGGCTGAGTCTGTGTGTGCCTTCAGCGGATGTGGTTGTGTGTGTGTGCCTTCAGACTTGAATTAGTTGGGTGGGGGTGACTCGTGTATGTGCCCACCGAGGGGGTAATGTTTGGTGATGATCATACGCCGAGCATGATGGAGCATGTGAAAACAGACAGTGGCGACTGAATTGGCCTAATCATGTGATTGTGACTAAAATGGGGAACGGTGAAAAGTGAGTGAGTGAGTGGGAAAGAGGAGAGTGGGAGAGTAACGGGAGAGAGATAGATGGAAACTGGAGAGGAGTGAAAAGAAGCAAAATCGGCTATGTAAACAATTGTGACAGTCGAAAGAAGAAGAAGACGATGAGGTGTAGTGAGGTGTTGATGGTAGTGGTGATAAGCAGAACAGCAGAGAGAAAGAGAGAGACTATGGAGTTTAGCAGAAGGGGAGAAAAAGAAAGCAAGACAGTTTGACTTCAGAATGCTGGCAAGATTAGAGTGAAAATGCTGACTAGAGTAAAGGAGGGGAAGGAAGCGAAGCAGGAGTAGTAGGAGAAGAAAACTGTGTGTGTGCTGGGCGCGTGACTTTCTAAAAGATCAGAGTGGTGGTGTGAAGAAACGTTTTGTAGTAGTTGACTTCGGTTTGTAACGGAGGTTGTAGTAGATTTCGGTGGCGGTGGTCACAGTTTTGGAACTCAACATTTGTAGTCATGGTGAAGTAGAGTAGTCAAGGTTAGAAGAGGGGATACTTGCAAAAGAAGAAGAAGAAAAAGTAGGAGGAGATGGTCATCATCCAGGATGACGAGGAGAGAAGGTGAGAGAGAGAGTCTACGCTGTCTAGCTCTAGAGTGTTGCAGGTAATGGATTTAGTCACTGTGTTTCTTCAAAGGTCGAGGCACAGCTGCTGCTGCTCATTGTCAGTAGTTAGCGGTCAGTGGTTATTGCAAGGTGTGGCTAGGTTGTGGTGGTAGTAGTGCTCTCTGCCGCCCGCCCGTCCTTCCTTCCTTTCACCACCTCTCAACACTTCAGGCAGGCTGTTGGCTGTTGATGTCGTACTTTGAGGGGTTAAAGCGTTCATTGGTGAAGGAGAAGCCCTTGAACTCCTCCTGGTTGATGGAGCGAATCGTCTCCTGGGCGGTGGGCGTCAGCACGGCGTCCTCTTTGGTAAAGTCTTGGTCAAAGTTGTTGACATCACATTTGGCTTTCTGCAAGGGGGTAAAAATGTAGAACAAATGATTAAGTTTTTGATTGACCTCTATAACTACATTAGTACAAATTCAGAAAGAACACGTACTATTTTAGGCTTGAAGGGTGTCTTCACTCTTTTCGCCTCTAGGGCGTCCCAATCAATGTCTCGGAAGAACGGATGACTGAGAATGGCCGATTCGCCCTGCAGGCCAACACAACCTAGTCGCCTGGAGGGGTTCTTCGTGAGGAACTGTAGATGTGTGCAAGGACGAAATAAATAAAAGCGGTGATTAAAAGGCCTTTCCAAGCCACGGAGCAGTTAATTAGTTAATTACCCCCTTCAGAATGGAAACTGCCTCTTTGGAGAGCCACACCGGGTAGACGACGTCGTCGTGGAGAATCGACTCAAAGAGGTCATCCTCATTTTCCGCCTCAAAGGGCGGCTGGCCGGCAACCATCTCATAGATGAGCACGCCTAGAGCCCACCTGAACGAACAAGTAACGGGGTTAAGGGTAAATATCACTTCGGTAAGAAAAAGAGCAATTTCACGCACCAGTCGACACAAGGACCGTAGTCAAGCTCTTGAAGAATTTCCGGCGCAATGTAGTCCGGGGTACCACAGAACGTGGAGGTGGTATTGCCTTCGTTGATGTTCTCCTTGCACATGCCAAAGTCGGCAAGTTTGCAGTGCCCCTCAGAGTCAAGTAATATGTTGTCTAGCTTGAGATCACTGTGATTAGGGCAGGTGATGGTAATCAGATGATGATAAAACAGTTGGACAAAAAGTAATTAGAAAGGTGACAGGTGTACTCGCTCTCTAATTTTCTCTTCCTTACCGGTAGATAACACCGTGACGATGCAGGAACATTAGTGCCAGTGTCACTTCGGCAGCGTAAAAACGAGCTCGAGGCTCGTCGAACTTGCGAGCCTTTTGTATTTGGAACATTAAGTCTCCGCCGTTGACGTACTCCATGACAAAGAACAGTCGATCCTGAAGTGAGGTGATCATCAGCAGAGTTTTAAAAATGATGCACAATTGTTAAGAAACAAATGAACACTTACGGTGGTCTGAAAGCAGGAGTGCAGTGCAGTGAGGAAGGGATGGTTAGCTGCCAGGACGAGAACTCGCTTCTCCGTCATCGTGCAGTCGACGTCGTCATCCTGGAGGATGGCGTCCTTCTTCAGCACCTTTACCGCGTACACCTCGTCGGTATTCTTCAGCTCGGCGAGCATCACCTGCGAGGAGGGGGAGGGGGGAAAGGGAACAGAAGTTTTATTTAAGCCTTAAACAACAACCCATTTACCATCCACTCTTCTTTATTACCTTTCCAAAGCTGCCCTTTCCGAGCACCTTGATAAAGTTAAAGTCATTCAGACTGAAGCGCTTCCTCGAGGTGGACTCCCAGTAGTCGGCGGAGCTGTTCAGACGGCTCTCCGCGTCGCAGGCCACCCCGCGAATGGAGAGGTGCATGGAGGTCATGTCGGCCAGCGCCTCCATCGACGTCATCGGATCGGCGCCGGACATGCTCGGAAGGGGCGAGGTGTGCGACCGCTCGTTGACGGGATAGGAACGGTTAGGCGACTGCTCGCTCGCCGAGGTCTTCTTCCGCGCCTCCTTCTTCCCGGAGGCGGAGCGGTCGCTGGAGATGCCCAGGCCCTGGAGAATCTCGCCGAACTTCTTCGTGTCAATGCCGCACGTGTTGGCCACATTCTTCTCGCACCGTTTATGCACGTTTATGTCGCAGGCTGAGAAAGAAAAAGTGTTAGTAAAGATAGTGGTTGACAGAAGCTCAAAAGCCAATCCACTTACCTTCGCACTTGAGTCCTTGCCTGATGATGCCGTACAGCATAGAACCACAGTGATCACAAAAGGTTGGTCGTTTGTAGTTGTGCACGGAGAAGCGATGCGGCACGTTAATGCTGAAGCGGTTGCCGCTGCTGCAAGACTGGTGAGGAAAATAAGGAAAAGAGTTGAAACAAACAAATCAAAACACCAGTAGACACTTACATCTTCATTGTTGGTCTTGCATCCCGGACACTTCACCACAACGAACTGATGGCACTTTTTGTGCACCACGAGAGTGCAAACTGTGCAACGAAAAAGTGCAGTTATGATTAGCCATTGTTAGTCATCGTCATCATTTCAGGCGTCATTTTTCCTCTTTGTTTACCTTGGCACTGGTAGCCTTGTTTGCCTAGTCCCCAGATGAACTGCCGACAGTGCGAGCAGAAGGTGGGCTGCCGAAGGATAGTGGCCATAAACTTGTGGCCGTTCACCTGGTGCACTCGCCGACGCATTGCACCGCGGCGTTTGTTGTTGAAACCTAGCTGGCGCTCTTTGAATTCCTTCGGTGGACCGGTCTTCTGCAGCTCCTCCTTCCCGGCGCCTGGATCGCTAAAAAGCTCGACGATAATATGCAACTTTCCACTGGGTTCGAGGTCGACCTAAAAAAGAACGTTGTTTTCACATCTGTACAACATACCCAAAAGCCTAAAAAACTTACCCAGAGGTCGGCCTCTGAATTGTTGCCGTCATTCTGCAGCAGCTCATCAAAGGATATCGAGCAGTTGGCGACAAATTCGTCATTTGGAAATGGTGATTTATGGAATACATTGAGCTGCAGGTTCTTCGCGTACAGCAGCGAGTCAATGTCGAAACTTTCATTCCAGACAGGCTTGAAGGTTCTCACCTTTACGGTGGTCTTGCCCATGATCGAGTCATCGACGGCGATGTTCACAAAAGGGTCGATCATCATGCCCTGGCTCTTGCTGATGGAGTGTCGAACTGACACCTGCGTCGGCCTCAGGTCAGAGGCCTCGACGATTTTCAGCCTGAGGCTCCCGTTAAAAGGCATGGCTGATGGGGGTGCTGGTGCTGAGACGATTGAAGAGAAAGCGAAGAAGATGAGGAAGGTTTGGGAGGTCAATTAGTAGTGCTGGAGAGGGGGCAAGTGGCAATTTGTTGAACAGTTTGAGTACTATGACTAGGTGAGAGAGATAGATAGATAGAGCGATAGAAAGAAGTGATAAGAAGGAGGAGATAGACTGCAGTTGTCTGTGTCAGCTGACCATAGCAAACAGAGTAGGTGAGGGTAAATGGCACTGGCAATCGAATTGAGTGTGTGTAGGTGGCTTGAAGGAAAGAAGGAAAAGAAGACGCTGCCCTGAGAGCTGAGATTTGGTCACCGTGCCATTGGCGGTAGTAGTAGACGGTGCTAGTAGTACGTTGACTAGTAGACGGTGGCCNAATGGCACTGGCAATCGAATTGAGTGTGTGTAGGTGGCTTGAAGGAAAGAAGGAAGAGAAGACGCTGGCCTGAGAGCTGAGATTTGGTCACCGTGCCATTGGCGGTAGTAGTAGACGGTGCTAGTAGTACGTTGACTAGTAGACGGTGGCCAGCACCAGCGTCAGCATCACCACCACCACCACCGAGAAGACGTGATTGCCGACCGTATTCGGTGATTAGCTAGCTGCCTGATGAGTTGTTGAGTGGGACTCCTCCAAGTTCGACTGTACGACGACGACGGCCACCACTTTCATAACCAGCAGCAGAACTACTACTTCCAGCGGTCGTGCCAATGGGCGCACTTCAACTTGCCGTCGGTGCAGTTGACTGGGCGAGTCGGTGGAGCAACCAAACAAACTCGGCCAGATGCGTTATGGACGATGTGAAGCATGCACAACAGACCGATGATGATTGCTGATGCTGCTGAGACAGACTGGCCGATTCCTGCGGCACTGTGTTTGGTATTGCATTGGAGACGAGAGGAGGGAGAAATCTGGAGGCGATGCTGTGCTGTGATATTGCTGCGATGATGAGTAGTAAAGTTGCCGATGATTAGGATGAGGAGGATGATGATGATGGTTGCTGGTGTTGTGGTGGTGGTAGCCTTGCAGCAGCTGTTGTGGTGGTGTAGGTAATCAGAACTGATGCTGCCGCTGTCCAGCCAGCAGTTGTGTTGTCTCCTACTGACGCCCGATATTGGTGATGGTGATGTTGAGGTCGTTCCGCCGCCACCGCAGCCGCTGTGCCGTGCAGCTTATGTCTTCTTGACTGTCTTGGTGGTGGTGGTTCGTTCTCTCGGCAGACGATACACACACTACCTTTCTCCTGTCGACCGCCGCTGATGGTGCCGTTGCTGGTGCTCTCGTTCACTCACTCGAGCACCGCAGGTACTGCTGCCCGACTGACTGACTTCTTCTTCTACGGCTGCTGCTGCTGCTTTTGCAGTTAGATAGCGGTCGATTAGCGGAACATTAGCAACCTAAGACTGCGCCGCCGAGAAGAAAAAGTAGCGGAGGAGGAAGAAGCGAGAGGAGCCGCAAGCTATGGTGCTGCTGCTGGAGCGGTGATTAGATCGATAATACCAGCGACGACGACGACAACGACGATGACAATAACATCTCTCACCCACAACTACTACCACCACCGACAGCAGAGAAACTCACACGGATCACACCAACACACAGCAGGCAGGCAGGCATTCAGGCTGGCAGTAGTCAATGAAAGCAATGGATGCAGCGAGCGAGCTGAGCTGGTTCTCTATGGGCGAATGTGGGTGAGAGAATGAGAATGAGAATGAGAGAGAAGGCAAAAGAAGAGAATGAATGAAAGAGACGCTGACGATAGACCGCGGCGGCGACGGCGGCTCTGGTGTTCTCTCAGGCTTTCTGGTGTAGCCTGTGCGCCTACTACAGACACTACACACACTGTCTCAGAGCGCTGGCACGAGCTGCACTACACCAGGCAGGCAAGGTGCTGCTGCTACTGTATAAGGTGAGCGAGTGAGAGAGGATCCAGAACAGCAGATGAGACACACTGTGGCGAACGGGCGACACAGGAGGAAGAGGAGAGGAGACACTGGCTAGAGAGCTGGCTGGTGGTCGGGAACGATGGTGGGGGCAGAAGAAGAAGAGGAAGAAGAGTAGTGTGAGGGTACTCGAGCCCTGTCCGCAGAATACAGAATACAGGCACGGAATTATATACACAGCGAGAGAGACAGCAGCACCAGAACACCAGCGCCAGCGCACAGCAGCAGCTTCAGCTGCAGTGGGAGTTGGTCGATGAGTAAGCAAGAGAGAGTCAGGCTGTTGCTGGCTGTTTGTTGAGCTGCTGCTGCTTCAGCTGCTGCTTCAGCTGCATTTGCTATTACCGAAGCCGCAACGACGAGTAGCACCCAAATAGTGGGAAAGATGGCACTCTGCACAGGCGCAGGTAGACACTATCTGACGTGCACAAACGGCCTAGTCGCCAGATTCTTCGAGGAGGAGAATGATGATGATCAATATCGTGTGCTGTGAATATCGCAGCAGTTGAAAAGAACCGTATCCGGTTTGAGCAGCACCAGCATCAGATCTAGTCTAATCCAGTGGTCGGTCAGAGAGCCACTGGTGGTGGTGGTGGTGAAAAGCAGAAGCGGAAAGCGAAGGCACGCCAGAAGGATGGAGAGGTCACTTCAAAGAAGCCTACGCACAGAGTGTAGGCGGTGCTGGTGATGGTGCTGGTGACGCCACCAGTGTCCAGTTTTCACTTCAGTTCAACCTGTCTTTACCGGTGATCACCATTTCAAAGACCACACTGTGTTCCTCTGTTTGCCTCAGCCTGACCTTCTTTTCTTTTCTTCTTCTTGATGTTTCGCGCCAGTTTCAGATCGCACAAATTGAAAAAGCACACATCCGATCAGAACAGGTGAACAAAACAGAGCAGGCGAGTGTGCATCCAGTGTGTGTGTTTGTGTGTACGAAGTGTGACCGTTTGAATGGCGCCAATTTAGCGCGAATCTGACGTGTTTTTAAAATTTAATTGCATTGTTCTTTGCTGAAAAGAGAGAGAGGATGCGGATGATGAAACGGGGGCAGTATGTGGGCTCATTAGGATTGATCCGAATTGCTGCTGCCGAACTGAGGAACAATTCCTGCTAAAGGAATTGTTTGCTAGTCTCCAGCACCTTTGAATCAGGGCCAAATTAAAAACAGGAACAAAAGTTGCCCAGTGTTCCAATGATTGCCATTGGGCAGTGGAGTGTGTACTGCAAAAGGCAAAGTACTGGTTCTGCTGTAATGAAGGTGTACACGACTGACTGCCTCTATGTGGGTAGAGAGAGTTGTAGGTGGAGGACAGTGCTTCCTCTGAACTTTTTGTTTGCGCAAACAGCGCAGTGCAGAAGACGGGTTAGAACAATATAGATCGGCAGAATCAATCGCATAATTTGCATATCATAATGGCTATGAATTTGGGCCTGAATTGGAAAACAAAAAACAATATCGAGGCGTACTAATGAGGCCGAATCAAAACTGGGCTGGGCGATTTTCAAGCGGCTCGGAAAAGTCATCAAAACAACTCTACTCTCTACTCTCTGTCTGTCAGCTAGTGTACGATCATTGCCAACATGAATGCGTTCTCATAGACGTGTTCGTGCCGAGAGTGTTAGCCCAACCAGAGGGAGAGAGAGAGGCAAACACAAGAGGCAACTTGTGAGCATGAGAAACACCGAACAAACTGCTGATAAGCTGCTGCTGCTGCTGAGCAGTCGTAGAAATGGTAACCGGGATACGACACTCGTTGACATAGGCAGTCGCCGTCGGTTGACGGTTTCACCACCTGCCATTTCCATTGCCAATGCCTGATGCCATTACCTGGCGCCAGCTCTAATAGATCCCCAGCCGACAAAGGTGAGGCTCTTTATTTGCTCATCAAATTCTCCAGGCTTTTTGCGCAATCACGCAGTGTGAGATGAAGGTCCATCAGCTCGTTCTTTGACAGTGCCATCGACAGGGCGGTTCTCGTCGTCTTTGGCTGCTGCTGTTGTTGGCGGCTTTCTTCTGGACTGTCTTTTGACTCATCGACGTACAGGTCAAGCAGATAGCTCCTCTCCTTGATGCTGTCGATGCTGGAGCTTTTGACGTCAAACACCTGAGACCACTCGATGCCTCTGAATTTAGGTAGCGGGTTTAGCTCAAAGTGGTTCATATTGTGCTGCACCTTGGGCAGTGTTGAATGGATGAATTCAATGAATAACCTAAAGTTTTCAGTTGTACAGTCAAACTTTTGCTCCTGAAGTAGCCGCACTAGAGATGCCTCGTTGACATTATTCTTCACCGACTCGAGCAGCAGTGAATTGATTGCAAATGTAAGAAGGTTGCGAATCATCAGCCTGTCATCTGGTTGACAGAAACAATTAGAGACAAAAATACTTTCTGCAAAAACTATTAATTACCAGGGGACTGGTGGACATCTGCGGATTGTCTGCTGTTGGTCAGTGTTTTCAAACAGTCTTGGAATATCTGCTGCAGATCATCACGCTCAATGTGGCCCGAGTTGATCAGCGATAAGGCGGAAGCAACTTCACTGTTAAGTTCCATTTTGTAGTAGAAAGCGGAATGGCAACCGGAATGGCAAAAGATAAAGGAGCTCGTGTTGTACAAAAGGGGAGGATTTTTTGGCCAACCGCAAACACACACACACACGACCAGACGTAAATATAAACATCGATGCGACTGATTAACAGTCACTGTGGAAGTAGCAGCGGCGCGCGAAAGTGACCTGAAACTTTTTGCTCCCTAACCGGATGCTATTTAGTCGCTTTAATTAGACCTAACCGCACACTGTGTGTGTGTGTTTACTTGCACCGGGTGATTGCATGGCCTTCGGCGGAAAACGTGGGTTCACCACCTTCAGTTTTCAGTGACCAACTGAGTACCCTGCAAAAAGAAGTGCACTGATCACTATCTCGCATGTGTCTGAAGCTGTGCTCGTAATATTAGCACTCGAATGACGTGCACTACAATTCAAAGCGAAGGTCAAGCGGGGAGGCGAGATTTCCTAAAAGGGTGGCAATGTGATCAAGGTGCAGAGAGATTGAGATTGAAAGATGAGATGGGTGGTTTCAGATAAGAAGAAGAGGCTGTTGATGCTGATGATGCGCTGTTTGCATTTGACGTCAGACGAAATAAGTACAAATTACAAAAAGATTTATGAGCTCAAAGATCAGTGATCTCTGTGATAGCAAGTTGAGCAAGGTCAGTTCAAGTGGTACTACACTTGTTCCAGGACGGTCACGTACTCTAAATTGAACGCAGCACCCAAATGGTAGTGCTATCATTTCATTTCATTTGATGACCTTTGGTATTTGAAAGAGGAGATGAAATGATGGCATTCACAGTTGCAAGGCTCAACAGCAGCAATACTTGTTCGAGAACTGCACCAACAATTACGCAATTTAGAGCGCTAGTCAACACACACACACTGTTGGCATTCGTAATATTTGGAGAAAAACTAGCCAGAGTTTTCTGATGGCCATCACTTGCCGTTGTCTACAATGTTCACCTTATCACAGTATCTCCTTCGTCACCTTCGTTGTCTATTCGTTGTCTTCCTATCACTAGGTGAGCTCAGACACCTTTGAGTCAGCAGCTGTACAAAAGCAACAGACCCTTTGCTAATCTTTCCCAAATTCCACCTCCAGCCCTCTTTCACCTCTCCTCCGCCGCCGTCGAGTTGAACTTTGGCCACTTTCGCCTGCTGCTGGACAAGAACAATCTGTCCACGCCCGGCTGCGGCCTGTCCATACTGAATCGCATCGTCAACGGCCGAGATGCAGTCGACAATTCCTATCCGTTTGCAGCGTTGCTGTACAAAAACGCAAAGCCATTCGGCGGCGCGGTGATCATCAGCCCGCAGTGGATCCTCACAGCTGCCCACAATACGCACAGGTAAGGAAAGGTTTGAACTCCTTTTGTAAACTTCTCACAACTCCTCTTTCCACTCTCTCGTACTCAGCACCCTTGACCCGGCCAACTACAGCGTCGGCGTCGGCTCCATTCACATCACCGAGCTGCAGATGCACCAGGTGGCGGCCGTCTTTGTGCACCCGCAGTACCAGCGCAAGCAGAAGTTCGACATTGCGCTGATGAAGCTGGCCACGCCGCTCGCCTTCAGCACCAAGATCAAGGCCGTCTGCCTGCCGGAGTACTCCTTTGAGCCGCTGAACGCAAATAAGGCGCGCGTCATCGGCTGGGGCTACCACCACTTCAAGGTGAAGAAGGTCTCCGCCTCGCTGCAGGAGGTCGACCTGGACGTCATCCCGCTGGAGCGCTGTCGGACGATGTACGAGCCCATCAAGCAGGACATCATTCGCTCGCAAATCTGCACCTGGTCGGACCGCAAGGATGCCTGCAGTGGAGACAGTAAGTGTGTGTGTGTCGATCTCCTGGTTCCCCGGTGAGATGATAATTGCCTTTTTGCAGGTGGCGGACCGCTTTTTGTGTACCTGCAGGACAAGGCCGTCCTCTACGGCATTGTCTCCTTCGGCGTGACCTGTGCAGATGAGTTTCCAGGTGTGTACACCGCTGTGAGCTACTACCTCAACTGGATGAACAAAATCATGACGCAAAATTGAGCTGGTTCGGGCAATAAATAAAGCATGTTTGCAAAGATAACTTTTTGCTCATCCTGTACAGCCTTCGATATGTGTGACATTGTTCAGTTTCGAGTGCATCAATTTCTAGCAAGTCTCAAAGTTTCAGTCTTGCCGGATCAACGCCCTCGAGAAGCATCTTCTGTCTGACAGCGCCCTCGTGAACGCCGAGTTTGAGCATTTTTCGGTACTTTTCAAGCTCTTCAGAATGATCTTCTTGAGCAGCTTCAATGTGGTCTGCTTCTTCGTTTGTCGGTGTCTCGCCTCCTTCGATGTCGCCTTTTGTTTTTAACTGATCATTTGCTGCTGTTTCACTCACTGAACTGGGTTTCGTAACGAAAGTATCAGTTTGAGAGGCAGAGACACTTGCCTCTGCTTGACTTGAGGTTGTAGCATTCGGTGGTGCTTGACTAGTGGTCACCTTGTCATCAGGAATATTTATACTATTGAGCTTCATCTCTAGAATGACCAGATTGGAGTAGCAAGTGTCAATCTGTCGATTGAGCGTAACCAGCCGAGACTCGACGTAGCAGGCAAAGTTGTTGAGCTGTTCCACCATTGCGAAGAGGCCATTGTTGATGAAGGTGACCAGCGTTCCATTCTCCAGCGGCTGTATTTTATCGAGCTTGTACGTTTGATTGCGAAAGATGTGAAGATTGTGCATGATTAAAAAAGGTTGTTGTGAAAAGTCATAAAAAGATAAACACAAAATATTTGTTGTTGACAATATCATCCAGCAAATCGACTTTCAACACCACAACAAGAGCAACTTGCACTGTGCACACGACACAACTCCCCCTATCCGCAGTTTATACGCTGCTTCAACTTTTTTTAAATCTGACACCTTTTTTCCTATTTTAGAAGAGTAGAAAAGTAAGCTGAACACAAGCAGACATTGATTCATTGCAAAAGAATCTCTTCACAGGAAGTTTTATAATAAAAACAAAAAATTCTCTTCATGAGTCCGTTACACTTTTTATTTTTTTACAGCAAAAAATGACTATCACTTGAATAAATTGAGTAATTGCACAGACTGAACCAATCATTAATTAATAACACAGATAACAATAGTGACTGAGGTGGTGGTTGCGGAGGGATTGACGACGACAACAACTATTCTAGGTGGGATGTGTGCTGCCACTCAGGCACTCATCTGGAGGTGGTGGTGGTGGTGGGTGCTTCAACTTGAACACCAGATTGACCTGACTTTTCGGTCTAACGGTGGTGTTGTACTCCTCGTCAAAGATTTCTTCGCCGTTCAGCGTAGAAAGGGAAAACTTTTGCACTATTGAGACGATGTAGAGGAAGAGCAGCTTGCGGACAAAGGGCTCGGCCACACAAGAGCGCTTTCCCAGGCTGAAGGGCATGAAGCCTTCCGGGTATTCTATTAGCGACTTTTGGTCGTCCGACAGGAAGCGCGTCGGATCAAAGCGAAAGGGATCCGGCCAGATGGTCGGGTCGTGGTGGACCGCCCAGATATTGCAGAGGACCAGGGTGTCCTTGGGAATGAAGCAGCCCAGTATGGAGGCGTCTTCAATCGCTCTGTCAAAAAAAGTGAAACGTCAGAAATCGGTGTTTACCCAATTCAAGCGAGTCAACACGCCGCTTACCTTCGTATAAAATTAAACGGCAGCACCGTCTTCCACCTGAGAACCTCATTGAGAAATGCCACCGTAAAGGGCATGCGAAGTGCGTCCTTGAACTCGGGAATTCGCTGGCCGCCCATCACCCGCTCCACCTCCTCGCTGATCATCTTCTGGTGGCCAGGGTAGTAGGCGATGGAGATCAGCGACCACTCCAGACAGGAGAGGAAGGCTTCAGTGCCGAAGCTGAGGAACACCTGACAGTTGGCGCGTAGTTTCTCGACTGCAAAGAAAGGACATGGACATGAGTACCCATAAAAGTTTAGCGCAACTTCAACTGAGGACTTACTTGACATTGTCGTTGGCACTGAGTGGGCTTTCTTGCCCTTCAACTCGACCAGATATCCATCAATCAGGTCGCGTACTGACGATTCATTTCGCAGTGTCTTGTAGTGTGTCTTACATTCGCTCCTGAAAAGGACAAGTTTTTCAGTTAGAAAAAAAGTTGGCTAAAACGATCGATGATATAACAAACCTAAAAACTTTAACAAAAAAGGAGACTCGATAATGATTAAAAATGTCAAAAACTTTAAAGGCGAATTTTCCCAGCCAAGGGGGATAGAGTGAAAGGATGGAAATGTTGACAAAGAGTGAAGAGTCAAACAGCGAATTGACCTCAATGAACTGCTTGCCGAAAACTAAAGCGTAGAATATTTTGCTGATGTACTTTGAAAAGTTGACTCGTAATTGTAGTGGATTTTGGTTCGTCTTCCGCAGGTAGATGAGCAGACAGCGCATCTCAATGAGCATATTCTTGTAGATGATCGAGCTGTCAAAGCTTGTTTTGAAAAGATTTTCGTAGACACGACGTTCTTCGCGCCAGCTGAGCGAGTTCTCATCGACTAGACCTGTTTGAGGATGAAAGTTAGTATTGGTGAGATGTGCCCACATGTTTTGTTGTGTACTCATAATTGCACTCACTTTTTATTCCTGTGACAATGGTGAAGGAACCTTGAGCAGCTCGACCTAATTTTTTAAATAACGGATAAAAATCGATAAGCTATCTTAAGAGAAAAAGACGTGCCTTACCTAAAAATGAATCTTTTTTGAGCGAATCTTTAATCGAGTTCCAGTCATTTAGTATCACAATATTTTGCATGCCAACTGGAAGTCTAAACAGTGGTGACAAGATGAGCATAAAATACCTTCCATCAAGCATCAAAGCATCGTCTTACGTGTAAATATTGCCATATTTTTCACTCAACTTCCACAGCGTAAAGTGGGGAAATTTGCCCAGAAAAGGCAGGTAGCCGACAAGCGGTAATCCCCACGGTCCTTTCGGCAAACGCTTCTTGGTCTTGTCATTCAGCAACGAGACCATGTAGCGTATGAAGAGCAGCACCACCACAATCTGGCTGATGTTCGAGGAGATGTAGGTCGTTGCCGATGAAACGGACCACTGCGCGAAGAAGTGCATCACAAGGAGTTGTTGTATTTGATGGCGGCGAGGAACAATGGCAGATCAAGGCGAGAAAATGGAAGCGTCGATAGGGTACTACTATTGGTGATCAGTGGTGATCATCGGTGATGCTGATGATGATGATGCAGGTGCTTACGACAAAAGAGTGTCATCAATGGAGTGTGAATGAATGGATGGCAGATTGTGCCTGTGCCTGTGTCTGTGTGTGTGTTTGTATTGTTTACACTGCTGCCAAGTGCCACTGCTGCACACTGCAGAAAGAGAGCGAGGAGAAGAGACCAGCAACACTTTCCCTCGTTACATAGCCAATCTGAACTCTGCTTCGTCGTTGAGTCTCGGGCTATCTCCTCTTTTCTCTCTCACTCACTCCGTTGTCTGGGATGTGCCATCAACATCGTCAGAGAAAGAGAGTGGTCTCATTTGGAAGGCCACGAAGATAAGGGAGCCGAGCGACTCCGTGGCAATGTGTTGGTGCTGCCTTGAAGAAGAAGAAGAAGAGGGGCAATCCTAATCATTGTTTACGTGTTTTTGTACATGTGTCCGTAATTCACGCCACTTGTTGAGGCGGGAGAGAGATTATTGAAGCCGAAAGGAACTCTTTTAGTACTTCTCTGGAGGTGTAATCTCAAACTATGTACCTCATTCATTTTCCCTCTTTTGTGTGCCATTGACCGCGCGCGCACACACACACTTTACATGTCCAATGATGCCCACAACATTTCTACTCTGCCTTCGACAGTCTCAAATTGGATGGAACTCATCGTCTATCGTTAGCGCTGACTAACTGGTCCTGTCGACGAGCAACCGCACAACAACACTCACTTGATGGACATGAATGATGTGTGATGCTGTACAGCGGCGATCGTACATAGCCAATTGGCCACGGCTGCTGCTGCTGCACCATCCTCGATGAGTTACACTCGGCCACCGACTGCGTGGGCATTTGAAGCATTTTATTTGCTTAATGCAGCACCTCCAGCTGACTGCCTGCCTGCCTATCTGCCAGGCCGACTATTCTCTCTCAATTATAATATCATTACAATCATTAATAACTTCCATAAAAGGAGACCAGTGCACTGCTGCTGCTGCCTTTGGACACTCGAGAGCACAAGCGGACTTGCAAAGTGCACGCTGGACACAAGAGTTGATACAAACAAACTAAGAGTGCCGATGATCGTTCAAATTGAGTCGTTTGTTTCGAGAAGTGCTGATGCTGTCCTCCTCTTCAATCGAATGCCCTAGAACAGAATAAGAGTCACTCAGGTGAAATGGTGCTGGTGGTGGTCCATTAACTGCTGACTGGCCATTAGCTGTTGCTGCGAATTGGTCACTGCTAATTGCCAGCAAAAAGAAGAAGCGAAGTTTCAGATGCGTTCAGAAGCGAGGCAGTGCGCAAGCCAGGCAGCTGCCATCAATTTGCCTGTCAAGATCTGCTGAAGATGTGATGTGATTTGATTTGATTTTCCAAGAGGACTTCTTGAGGACGTCTTTTCAGCTGTTGCAGCTGCATCTGCACTAGTCAGTCAGTCAGTCGGTCTGTTTACTTAGGCGTCCTCTCGGCTGATCCTTCGAATGCTTCCGTCCGCATGGTCAATTTGTCTGGCGAAAAGCAAGCAAGCAATCAGCAGAACACAGTATTATCACTTGTCCACTTAGTAGTGATGAACCTGTTCACCACCACCACCACCACCGCAGCCCCTGCTGTAGACCACAGCCAGCAAGAACAGTCAGCATCGTTGCCTCCTAATCGTCAATCGAATCGAAATTCTTTGCACTTGACACATAGGCGGACTTGTTTTCAATCTCACTTCAGTACTAGCTGATGCTGCTGCTGCCCTTCAGTGGACTGCCTCCCAACCTACACACCGTCGCTTTTTCTTCCCCTCTCTCTCTCTTTCTTTTGCTCTCCCGTCGTCTGCGGACTCGTAAATTTATGTATGCGATTAATTGGGCAGAGTTACCTGGCCAAGTTTGCTACAGCACAGGTCGCCACAAGAGAAGCGACGATAAGAGGCAACGAGAGAAGAACACTCTCATCGTTGGCTACACTCTTGAACGAACACACTTCATTTTCAATATTGCCCTGCTGCCGTTCAGTCGTTTTTCGTCGTTGGCTCAAAGGTGGCCCATCGTTGACTGTCTTGATTCATTGTCACTGTTTATCTTCCCTCGAACAACAATGTTTGACACTTGTTAATCCTGCCTCTAGTGAACACCAACGCTGCTTTTAACTACATTTTCTGAATGGTCGGCCAGATCTTAAGCAGTGAGTTATTTCTAACATGGAGCAGCCACTGGTGAACTCCAACTCAAATGCAACTTCCGTTTCGGCGCGAGAAGCCGCCGCAGCGGCAGCCAAGTACAACCTGCGCACAAAGTCTATTCAGAATCGAATCGAAGTGGAGCGGCGGAAGAATGCCCCTCGTCACCCGAAGCCAAAGCAGCGACCGGCGCCGTTGAGCAAGTACCGCCGGCGGACGGCCAACTTTCGAGAGCGCTGTCGCATGCAGGAGATGAATGACGCATTCAAGCGGCTGCAAAGTGTGGTGCCCGGCGATGAGCAGTCCAGAGAGGCGGCGGCGGTGGTGGCCAAACAATCACTGGGCACTTCGGCGGCGGCAGCTGCGGCCGCCTCAAAGGCGACCAAAATTCACACTCTCAAACTGGCGGTCAATTACATCTCGGCACTGACGGCCATGCTCAATGGTCAGTCACAGGAGCAGACATTGGTGCCAGCAAAGACTCAAATCAGCACATACAGCATTGGCAGTACCAACAACACCAGCAGCAGCAACCACCACAACCACTGCAATCAGTCCTCAGTGAGCAGCCAGACAATGTTCATGATGGGACCGAAGAACAAGGCCTGCCAGACGATGTTTGGCGGTAGTGGTGGTGGTGGGGGTGGTGGCAGCTGTGTGGCAGCCAGTCAGACCGAGCAGCCAAGACAGCCAAATCAGCACAGTCATCTTCAGCACCGACCCTCGGATCTCAACCCCGTCAGCAATCTCAGCCACTGTCAGCAGAGACCACCCTTGCCCCACTCCTACTCCACCACCTCCCCTTCTTCTTACTCCTACTCCTCCGCCCAGCACATTGGACATTGTGTTCCTGGGCAGAACAGCAGTGCCAATAAACAAGTGCCGCTTAGCATCGACAGCAGCACAAACCAACTCTGTGAGATCTCGCCGCCGCCATTCTACGGGTACAGCAACCAGCCAAGGATGAGTCATGAGTCAGCAGTACACCCCACGACAGCGGTAATGCCCGCTTTTAGTACATCAGCTGACAACCACAACAACAGCAATCATCTCAGCAGCATCTTTCTCCCCAGTGGCCATTCACATCTGCAATCTGTCACTATGCCTGAACAACTAGGCAACAGCGTATCTGTTGCTTCCCCCTTCGATAGCCTGATGATGGAAGATAGCGCTCATCACCCCCAGCACCACCAGCAGCACTACTCGCTGGTCAGCCCCAACCAGGCCCTTCTGGACGACTTCAGTGCAATCATCGACGACCTGCAGCAGCAGGCAGAGGAGGAAGAGGAGGAGGACAGCACCTTTGCGCTGGTGGACGGTCTCATCGATTGACGAACTGAGCGACTGAGTGACTGTTAGCCACTTTTTTGCTAGTTAGCTAGTTAGCGAGGAACGAGCGAGACGTCCGGCCAGGCACGGGCACTGTCGATTGTAATCTACCTTCTTCTTCTTCTTCTTCTTGTACAGTCACCAGCACCAGCAGCACTTGTATCACTTCTCTCTCTCCCTTTCCTCTGTATGTTGCCCTTCCTCGACGATGCTGTGCGCATCTCTATAAATGGACTTTTTTGTTTGCACTCACTCACTCTCTTTTGCTGACTGATCCCCTTCAGATCCCCTTACCTGGGTGTGGACACTATATATCGCTTCTTGTGCTGCTTACTGGNGTACAGTCACCAGCACCAGCAGCACTTGTATCACTTCTCTCTCTCCCTTTCCTCTGTATGTTGCCCTTCCTCGACGATGCTGTGCGCATCTCTATAAATGGACTTTTTTGTTTGCACTCACTCACTCTCTTTTGCTGACTGATCCCCTTCAGATCCCCTTACCTGGGTGTGGACACTATATATCGCTTCTTGTGCTGCTTACTGAATGGCAAGCTTAGTAGTATCGCTTTCAGCCGCCGCCAAATAGTGCGACAAGTGTCTTCAGTGGTCGCCGGCATTACCACCACCAGCATCATCANGCAGGCTTAGTAGTATCGTTTTCAGCCGCCGCCAAATAGTGCGACAAGTGTCTTCAGTGGTCGCCGGCATTACCACCACCAGCATCATCATCACCGCTTCTCTGCTGCTGAGTGATAAAATTCTCGTCAAGCGAGCACAATTATTAGCCATTTCATTCGGTAGTGCATCCGCAAAAGGAGCAGCGGCGGCGGCGACGGCAGCAGCCCACTCGGACGACCACTGAACGAGTCAACGCCTAAATTCATTATCGCTTGGTGCGCGAGGATTAGGCAAAAAGATAGAAAAAGAAAAGGAGAGGAGAAGGTGGATGATGCGGCTGCGGATCAATGCGCTGCGGCTAATGGCCAGCAGAGTCGCTGCTGGCTCATCTCGCCTGCGGCTGAGACCATCTTGTGCCTCTCTTCACTGCCCAGCAGAGAGAAGAGTGCACTCACTCACTCACTCACTCTCCCATTGGGAGCAACACTGACCTTTGCAATAGAACAGGCAAGAGCGACCCTTCACCCCCGTCAGTCAGTCAGTCTGAGCAGCAGCAGCAGCAGTGCCGGACATTTATCACCGATCTCGGCCACCATGCATCATGTCAGACGTGTGTATTGCAGCTTAGGCCACAGGCTTGATTTGCTGCTGTTCCTGCTTCTGCTTCTGCTGCAATCATATCGACTGAGATGATGACTCCGTGTCAGCAGGGCACACAGCTCGCCCTGTCCTGTCTGCGCCTCTCTGCTATCGCTGCTTCTCATTAGTTCCCTCTTCTTCTTATCCCCTGCGTCCATTGACATTGACATTGAAACAGTGGTGAGCATGAGGTGCCCCATGCTACAAATTGGGCAGCCAAGCCGAGCAGCGGAGAGAATCATTGACTGAATCTCTTTTTTATATAAATGGCTAAAAATGCGATTGGGCAAAGTATGCGAAAAATGCTATAAAATAAAATTAAAAAGTAAGTCGATAAAGATTGAGTTACTTGCGAGGAGGGAGAGCGAGAGTATCAAAAGTAGTGCATCAACACTTGGCGGAGAATTGCCGACTAAAGAATTCGTACGAGCACGGTAGAGGAGAGACTGCCCAGCGTCAGGCCGAGGCCGAGGAAGAGCATGAGGAAGAAGCCCGACAGCTTTCGATATGCAGGCGGCACTGAGAGCGGTCCATTTACGAAGACATTGATCACCAGGTAGCCGTTGCTCACACCGAAGAGCACCATGTAGAGAATGTAGTAGTACTCGGAGGCGAAGAGCACCGGCAGGTGTCGGCGCGGGTGGACATTGGTGAGCATGAAGACGGGAATGAAGGCCATGCGGAGGACGGCGATGGTGATCAGCGAGGACGACCGGTGACGAGGCAGCAGGCCGAAGCGGCCCAGGTACCGCCCGAGAAAGTCGCACAGGTTGAAGATGAGAAAGCAGCAGACGGGAAGGAAGAACTTGCCCGTCCAAAAGGTGCCCGCAGTCTGGTGGTCGGCACTGGGGCTGACTAGAACGACGACAGCCGGGAACACGGAGAGTGAGGTGAGGAAGGTGAGCATCAACGTCAGGCAGTATGGCCACATCTGCAAAATGGGTTAAAAATTACGTTAGCTCACGTTGAAAAACTGAAAAAGCAAAAATCGAACCTTCTCAAAGACAATCTTGAATGCCGACAGCTCAAAGCTTGACTGCTGTGTGCCTGAATCGGTGGATTCAGACTCAAAGTTGGCCAGGGCATTGTGGTACTGGAAGAACCTCGTCCGCGTGGTGATGAAGTAGATCACCAGCGTGCCCAGAATGACAGTGTCAGCGAAGACAAAGTACACAAAGGTGCTCTGCACGATAGACCAGTTGCCGGCCAGGCTCAGAATCTGCGCAATGACCGCAAAGAGACCGGACATTGCCTGGCCGGTCACCATCAGGTGCATGATCTGGTTCGGCAGCAGTGAGGCAAGGCCGGCAAAGTTGGCCTGAATGAACGAGGCGACCATGTTGAGGAAGAAGACGAGAATCAGCGTCAGTCGGAGAAAGGCATTCTGGACTGGACAATAAAGTTTCACTGTTAGATACAAAAAACTCCATTGTAAAAATTAGCTCACATTTGTCTGTGTCGATAAGGACAAAACTGGTGATCGTTCCAAAGATGGCGAATAAACAAATGAACGCAACACAGTTCTTGACGGTTTCATTTAGCCTTTTGAGCGTTTGGCTGAAACTGAGCGCAAAAACAATCAAAAAGGGAAGATTGCTAGCAATGGCGAGGTAGCTGTCAAAGACTGCCTGAAGATCAGACTTGTCTTCATCGGCGATGATCGATGATGATTTGTCATTGTAAGCACTGTAGTCGACCGTTCCATTCAGATGACGAAACTTGAACATCCAATACTAAAAGGAAAGCAGTTTAGTAAAAAAAGAAAGCAGGACGCATTTGATCTTACATTGGTAGCTGTCACTAAAAAGTTCCACGGTAGAAGTTGAGCAAGTCCGATGAGGAAGAAAGTGCCGTGGCAAAGATAAAATCTGGAAAAAAAACAAAGGTGACAGTGATTAGTAAAACAGATGACAAAAAAACCCAGATAGCCACCAGATCTGCCCCTGGGGACTTACTTATCACGCGGAACAGGATCCTGATTGATTGGGTTCGCCAGCTCGGCGGTGGAGTCCGAATCATGGTCACTACCGGTGCTCCTCAGCAGGGCCTCACTGTCTTCCTCCTGTCTTTCTCGGCCGGAAGACGGCATTTTGTTTCAGTCGTGTTTCGGTGAAAGTCGATTGCTGAGATCATGAACTGCAACAGAGATGAGTCGCAGTGGCGGCTGCTTTTTAGGTGGTCTGGGCAACAGGCTCCAGGTTCACGTGATCGACGAGGATTGTGATGGTAAGATGCAGCAGAGCATACTTGCTCCTCAGAGTCTGAGCACACTGACAGCCGACAGTTGTTTGCTGTGTTTTGCAACTGCGAGCGGACACTGAGGGAAAGAGTGCCAAATCAGCTGAGCAGTTCAGTGAGGATACTGCACTCCACGTGCGCCAGCAAACACACTGCAGTGTCTACGCGGGGATTGTCTGGCCATCATCGTACCACCACCACCACCACCACCACCACCGTGCAAATCCTCTCTCCACTCTAGAGACTTTAGAAGACTCTGAAGACGATGGATAAGGACAACAGCAGCAGCAACAACAAACGTCAGCGGACGTCCTTCTACGCAAATAAAACCATCCTCGCGCCGATGGTCAGAGTGGGCGCGCTGCCGATGCGCCTGTTGGCGCTTCGCTTCGGCGCCGACCTCGTCTACACCGAGGAGATTATCGACTTCAAGTTGCTCGGGGCGAGGCGCTTCGTCAATGAGGAGCTCGGCACGGTCGACTATATTGATGCCTCGGGAGCAGTTTTCTTTCGGACCTGCGAGGAGGAGAAGGACCGGGTCGTTTTGCAGGTATGTTTTGTTTTGCCGGTGTTGTTGTTGTTATCGCTGGCATTGTTGTTATCATATGACTCTTTTTCTAACATCCAATCTAGATCGGAACTAATAGCCCGGAACGGGCGGTCAGAGCGGCAAAGATTGTAGAAGAGGACGTGGCGGCAATCGACATCAACATGGGCTGTCCCAAGTCGTTCAGTCTGAAGGGCGGCATGGGCGCAGCGTTGCTTTCCAAACCAGAACTCATTCAGCAGATTCTCTGCAGTCTGAAGGCAGCCCTTAGGAAGCCGGTGTCCTGCAAGATACGCATCCTTCCTGATCTCAACGCCACCGTCGAGCTGGCCAAGCTGATCGAGCAGACGGGCGTTGACGCACTGGGCGTTCATGGCCGCACCAAGGAGGAACGACCGCAGCACCCAAATCGAACCGACTACATTCGAGCGGTGGTCGATGCCGTGGACTCCATTCCTGTCATTGCCAATGGAGGCAGCTCTGAGATTGACTGCTTCGACGATATAGCCAAGTTCAAGGCGGCCACTGGCGCTTCATCGGTGATGATCGCCAGGGCGGCACAGAACAACTGCTCCATTTTTGCCAAAGGTTCAAATGGTGGTGGCAAGAAAGAAGACCTCGACAGTGTCATCAAGCAGTACCTTAGGCTAGCAATTGACTTTGACAACAATGCCATCAATACAAAGTACTGTTTGACGCGGATGCTCGGCTCTCTGCAGGTATCCGAACTAGGGAGGGCCGTTTTGGGTAAGGACAAACTTTTGCCCAAAATTGACTCTCCTACTTAACACATTTTTTTTGTTTACCCTCATTAGATTCCTTCACCCTGGAGTCATTTGCTGCGGCGTTTAACTTACAAGACTACTACACTGAGGCGATGGCCAAGCGAAAAGCCAAAAAGGCCTCAGCAGTAAATGAACCTGAGTTGTCTAATAACAACACAAAAGAAAACAACACCACAACCACCTCCGCCTCCTCAACCGCAGAGAACATCATCACACTGCCGGTGAGCTTTGACCAGAACCTCTTTGTGAGCACGAGCAGCCCACTTCCCAAAACGATCCTCAACGAGCACTTCAATAAGAGCGGCAAAAAGACCTCCTCCCCGCTCACCTTTCGCACGGTCCAAGTGGCAAAGCAGTTCCACTCTGTTGTCAGCCAAGGTGGCAAGCACTACTCGACGCCGTACCTCGAGAAGACGAAGCGACTGGCGGAACAGGCGGCAGCCCTGGTGCTGCTCCTCTCACTGGGCCTCTTCAGCGACACCAAAATCATCAACCGGTGTCTGGTCACGACGCAGAACGTCGTCCATGCACTGCAGCACGTCGAAAACGGCCAAACATATTACATCAAAGTCAACAAGTAAACAACAGTTGTGCAATGGGTTTTGAAAGAAAAGAAAAGTTTTTTATTTTGCAATTTGCATCTTTTTGAAATTTACGGCTGCAATGAAAGGTGCAGCAATTGCAAAATTGTTGTGGCAGAAACAACCGCTGTTGTGCCCTCACTTGGCTGGTTCGCCTGGCTCACCAGCTTTGCCTGCACCATCACTTTTGACTTGATCAGTCGGCTGAGCCTGGTTCTTAGTCGGCTGGTTGATCTGAGGACCGCCTGGAGGGCCCTCCTTGCCGGTCTGGAGCACAGGCCCAGCGACAGCCTTTGCTGGTGGTGGCGGCGGGAGTGGCTCCAAAGGGCCGACCACTTTGCTGGCGGCAGCCGCCAACAGCGAGTGCACCTTGGCGTTGATCATCGCCTGGATCTTCTTGGTGTTCACGAGAAGCGCCTCCGCCTTCTTCGACTGCCCAGCCTCCGCCGCCGCCGCCTTCTCGGCACTATGGTTGCTTTTCTTGTCCGAGGTGCTTTTCTGCTTTTCTGGACCGGCAACAGCAGCAGCAGCTGTATTGCCCAGCAAAGCTGAGCTCTTTCCCTTTTCCTCGCCTTTCAGAGCAGTGCAGCTTCCTCCTCCGTTGCTTTTGTAGTAGCCGATAAAGCTGTTCTTTTGCTTGCTGTTGCTGCTGCTGCTGCCGTTTAGTGAAGTTTTGCTGCTCTTTCCATCACTCTCTCGGGCGTTTAAACGGTCGAGAATGTTCGAGCTGTTAACACTTGAGCTGGAGCGACCTTTCGATGTAGAGCTCTGAGACGAGTTGCGCACTTCTAGGAAGCGAGGCGCATTATGATCAGCGCCAGCCTTAGCAGCTTTAGCAGCCTTAGCAGTGTTCTTGCTTTTGCGAGCGGCCACTTTGTGCTTGTAGAGGACAAGCCGGGGAATCCTGTTTTTGCTGGTGCTGCTCAGGGTTCGGTTGCTGGAGCTGGGGGTGTTGGTGAGCGAGAAGCCCGTCTTGATGGCCATCGGTATGCGACTGGCTGCATTCGACTGATTGGCCAAAGCCGCTTCCGCCGACTGTTGTTGCTTCTTCTGCCCGCCACCACCTTCTTCTAGCGCCATCACGGCCAGCAGCAGTTGATCGCCTAGATCATGATCTTCATCATCATCAGCAGCAGAACTGGCATTAGTCTTCGCTGATGAGGAGGAAGAGGAAGAGGAAACACCGCTGCGATTCTTTGAACGATTCTTGCCTCCTTCTTTTGCACGAAGGGAGGCCCTTTTGCCAGGCTCACCTACACCGGTCGTTTTAGCAGAAGACTTCTCTTCCAAGCGGGGCATTTTGCCGAACTTGCCGCCGTTGCTTTTGCTGATGGCGCTCTTTTCAGTGGACTGGCTTCCCTTTCCTCCTTCCCTCTTCTCCACCTCTTTCTCCACCTTCTTCGCCGCCCCCTCCTGCAGTGACATCTGAATGGCGAGCATCAGTTCGGCGTCGCCGCTTTCGCCGTCCTCGCCCAGCACCGCCGGCCCCGCCCGCTGCACCGTCTCGGTGAGCCAGTTAAGTTGCTGCAGCAGCTGCTGACTGATGACCTGCTGCGGAGAGTGGACGGAGATCAGCTGACACATGGTGGGGCCGAGGGCGGTGACCAGTGGCTGCAGCGTCTGCACGCTCTTCGCCACCTCCGCCGGCTCGCCGAAGACCACCAGGTCGAGGCTGATGTTGGCCTTGCGCAGCGCCAAGCCGAGGCGCTTCAGCTCTCGGGCCGAGGTGGTGTTGGTCTTCTCCTTCTCTTTGCCCTTGCCCTTGCTCTGACTGTTCTCCTTCTCCTCGTTCAGCGGCGAGCCGAGGAAGAGCACCACTCGCTGGTTGGCCCGCCGGTTCTTTCGGTGCTTCAGGGCGAGCTGGGCGATGCGCAGCGAGGTGATCGGATCGGCGGTGCCCTGGCTCTCCGCCGCGTACAGCTTCCGCTGGAAGGTCACCTGCTCTCGGCTGAGGGGCAGCAGCATCTCCGGGCGGTTCTGCCGACCGGAGGTGGCCATCAGGGCGATGTCATTCTCAGGGTTGCTGCGCATCTGAACGCGCAGCAGCTCGGCCACGGCATCTCGCTGCTGCATCAGTCGGCTAGGGCCAAAGTCGCCATTCCGAGTGTGTTCGCTGTTGTCGATGCTTCAATAAAAAGGTTTGATTTAAGAGGTTTGAGAAAATGGCAAGCCCCCTTCAGACTTACCAGATGATTAGACTTTGCATTGCTATCCAATATTGTCTGCAGTAGGCTGGTAGAGCAGAAAAACTAGATACTCAATCAAAACAAAACTTCAACACCATCCAAAAACAAGCAATGACCGCTACTGCAGAGGATATACTCGTTTTTGGGCATTGTTGGCATTAATTTCGAACATTACTCGTCACTTTAAACAAATTAACAAAGGTTCTTTTTAATAATAAAAAATCCCTCGTTTAAAATGTAATTGGCTTTTGCGGTAAACAGAGGTTGTAGAAGGCGTTCTTGTCCCAAAAGGAGAGAGGTTTCCAGCCACACCAGCCCTGAAAAGATAATGACCAAAAAAGAAAGATTAGCACTATTAATGATCAATGATGCAATGATTGAGACACAAACCTTCTTCTGAATGACCGACAGGTCATCGTCGCCGGTGAAGTGCGGATCAAGAATGAGAAACTTGATGTCCCCCGTGGTCTCATCAAAGTGCACGCCAATGATGGTGTGCGCCAGCACTCCGCCGCCAATCATGATCGGCGTGCCGTGCCGCGCAAAGTGGGCCATCAACTCGCGTCCCTTATTCGCCAGTTCGGCGCCCGAGCTGACGAAGATGATCTTCGACTCGATCTGGTAGAGCTGACTAAGCACGTAGCAGACCTCCTGTGAGCCAATCCACTTGCTACTGCCGACGAAGCTGGCCGGCTTGTCGCCCACGTCGACCAGCGCCTGCTGAATTGCCCGGTGAGACGGTACACGGTCAACCGAGCTGTCCAGGTAGCCCTGCAGCTGGAACCAGCTGACGATGGTCTGCAGCGAGCGGTAGGCACAGCCCCACCCGGAGTCGCTCACGCCCTGTTGGTTGTAGTGGAAGTAGAGGTACCGCCCGGAGACGGTCACCGGCTGGCCGTGCTTCAGCCCGGACGACAGGCCCAGGTGGACGTTCGCCAGGCTGCTGTCCTTTGTCGGTCGGCCCCAGCCGATCCGATTGGCCGTCTTGAAGGTGGGCCTATCCAGCGAAATGATGTATCGCAGGTGAAGCGCTTCGCGAGCACTTCTAAACGCCTCCTGGTCGGCGGTGTTGCCGTAGACGACGACGATCGGATGGCAGAAGGTGGTCGGTTCGAAGAAGGTAAACACTTGCGGAATGGCGAGAGCGCCGCTGGAGTCGGTTGCATTGGCAAGCAGTGCCCTCTCAAAGTGAGACAGCACTTTGCTGAGTAAGGAGGTGAACGCCTTAAAGAGAAACGACGTCTGGTTGGCCAACTGTACAAAGAGATGGACTCGAATTGGAATGACCAGGTCAATGGATCTTCCTTCGCTCAACTCAATCGGAGCCTGGCCGTCATCCGTTTCCGGTACTGTCTCGCCATTGTTTAGTGTAAACTTCAGCGCCTCCTTGTCGCTCTTCAGCTTCCTTTGCATCTTCTCAATCATCTTCTTCTTCATATTGGCGGGTATTTGCACATCGGCCAGCTCATCAAACTGCTCAATCTGACTGTACAGGTCCTCCACGGCCAGCTCGTCGGCCGACTCACTGGACAGCGCCAGCTCTGAGCCACTCAACTGGAATGAGGCGTCGCCAAGGCTCTCCTTCAACTCACCAAAAGCAGCCGCAACCGTTTCGGTAAACTTTTCCGAGTAGTAGGAGACCTTGAGGCGGAGAGCAGCGTCCAGCGAGACGTCCACCAGACTGCCCATCACCTCCTGTGAGTCAACAATCTCTGAGCTGCACTCTGCCAGCTTCTTTGACTTGATATCATACGTTTGGGCTTTGACCGTTTCGGGCGTTTCACTCAGCGCTTGAAGCACCAGCAGTTTGCCGGACTTTTTGCTCTTTGCAAGAGCTGCACAGTGCTCAATGATGCTCGCCTCGTCGTGGCCTTCGCCTAGAAAGAATGCCCCCAGCATCGTAGTGCCGGCAGGGAGGTCATCCTCGCTGGCGGCACATCCAAGAACGTAGCTCTCATTAGGTTGACCGGCAGTGTTGAAGCCGAAGACGATGCCACTCTTGGCGAAGTTGACTGTGGTCAAGCTGGCCGCTCCTTGCTTCAGACGCTGTAAAAGAGGGGTTTTTAGACAAACTTGAAATCTTTAAAACAGTCACTAGCTCTTACCGAATCAAGGGAGCTGACGATTTTGAAGACTTTTCCTGACATTTTGAGTTAAGACAAGAAGAGGAAGATCGTCAGTGGCACTGTTTTGGCAAAGCATCCACGTGTAATTGTGCAGGCTGACCGACTGTCAGCTGTCTGCAGTGCACAACAGTGTACACACCACCAGTTCTGAGCAGACTCCACAAATGATTACACAGACAAAACTCAGAGTGCTCATTAGCATGAACTTTAAAATATCCTGATTTTATTTTTTCTGAATAAAATAAAACAATTTCTACTAATAGAAATCGTCAAAAGGTCAAAGTTAACTTTNGCAGTGTACACACCACCAGTTCTGAGCAGACTCCACAAACGATTACACAGGCAAAACTCAGGGTACTCATTTGCATTAACTTTAAAATATCCTGATTTTAATTTTTCTGAATAAAATAAAACAATTTCTACTAATAGAAATTGTCAAAAGGTCAAAGTTCACTTTAACGATCATTTTTTCCTCAAAGGGACTTTTCCCCCCAGGGCAATGTCACTTTTGAAAGTCGGACTCCANAAGGAAAAGGTGTTCTGTGTTCTGTGTTCTGTGTTCGGTGTGTTCTATTTGCTGACTCACAGAGATATCGTTAGGCCATTGATAAGCAGCTGTGCTGACAACTTGCCTGTTCAANTCCGTCAAGGAAAAGGTGTTCTGTGTTCTGTGTTCGGTGTGTTCTATTTGCTGACTCACAGACATATCGTTAGGCCATTGATAAGCAGCTGTGCTGACAACTTGCCTGTTCAACTGTTGAACTGAGGGAGAGGAAGAGGGGAGAGCAGAGGTGGCGCCGCCTTTTTAGAAAGCGCAGCAACAGTAGAAATCACCGTCATTCTGACCGTTGATTGGCCCATTTGAAATCCTCTCCACTGTGGAGTGAAGTTGGAGCTTTTAAACGGCCAAATATCATCAGAGGTCATTGATTTGGCCCCTCGTTCTTTAACTTCAGTACTACGACGACTACGACCACAGTCTCTTTTCTTTCCTTCACATCACTTCACCTTTAGTCTTCATCACTTCACCACCACCACCGCCACCAAATAGAACCTTCGTGTACATAGCAAAAGCATTTCTAAAACTTCTGCAGCATCCATTCCGCCGCCGCATCTCAGTTTTCACATCTCCTCTTCGAAATGAGTCTCACGGACCAGAACATCTACACGCACCGGGCCAAGGGAGCCAATGTGGACAAATCAGGGGCTGTCAAACGCCTGCAAAAGGAGCTGATGGACCTGATGATGTGCAGTGACAAGTCAATTTCGGCTTTTCCCGATGGCGAGAATCTATTTCGGTAAGTTTGTTTTACAGTTTCTATTTCTGAGTTCTCAAATCTTTGATTTTAGCTGGATCGCAACCATCAACGGCCCAAAGGACACCGTCTTTGATCAGTTGTCCTTCAAGATGAACATCCACTTCAGCTCTCAGTATCCATTCAGTGCCCCTAAAGTCAAGTTTCTAAATCACTGTTTTCACCCGAACATCAGTCCTTTAGGAGACATTTGCTTGGATATTCTAAAGGTAGAGCCATTCTAAATTGCATTTCTATTTTGCTGTTTTACTTTAGCTAACATCTTTCTTTTCTACTCAGGAAAACTGGTCAGCTCTCTACGATGTGCGCACTATTCTCCTCTCCATTCAGTCACTCCTCGGAGAGCCCAATCTGGACAGTCCACTGGACCCGCAGGCCGCTAAAATGTGGGGCTGTAAAGATTACCGAAAATTCGTTCTCGAAAAGGTGAAGGTTCAAATTAAATAAACGAACCTTGACATGCCGGGAACTTCCTTTCTGAACTAGGACCTTTCCATTTAACCACAACTTTAATTTATTCTTCTTCTCTTATCTTTCATTTCAACTGGCGCTTCTGCTTCATTGCTGATATTCCACTACCAACTTGTTCTGGGCTCTAATGTAAGCTATTGTACATAAGCATTTCCATCGATTACTCACTTGTAAGAAGCATCGAAGCACTAATTTCATCAAACTGCACCACACTCTCTTGTCAATTAATAAACACATAACATAACATGGTAACAGTTTTTTATATGTCAACAGAAGGGAAAGGGGAAGGCTAGTAGAGAGTGTTCAGTGGAACAGATTCGAAAAAGAAGAAGAGTGCTTATGATATGTGCAAAGAGAAAAATAATAGTACAATTTATTAGTAGTGAAACAACAATAGATTGATAAAGAACTCTAGCAACGTCGATAACAGTGTGTGTTTGGGTTGTCGGTACGGCGACGAGCCGGACCAGGGAAGAGCAGCGATGAGTAACCGAAACCGGTAAACAGAGAGAAGAAGAAACAGTTGAAGGGAAGAACTAGTGGCGAAGAAGAAATGGTGGTGGTGGTGAACATTGGTTCTTGGTTGTCGGAAATCGGGTTCAGCGTGCTCGGGAAGAAAGAAGAGAAGGAAGAAGGAAGGAAGGAGGAGGGATTCAAAACAGATGGTGCTCAAGTTGCGGCATTGTTGTTGGTGTTGGCTACCGTCAGCTGGTCACCGGCGGTGGGCTTCTTTGCGCTGAAGGTCGTTATCACACCGCGGATGCCCTTTACCGAAGTCTGTTAAGAGAAGAAATAGAAAGGGAAAAAAGGAAAGAGAAAGGGAAGAGAAAAGGAAAGAGAGAGAGAGAGAAAAGGAGACAAGGAGAGAGAGAAGAGAGGGGGCGGTGGCGATGTGTTAAAGCCTGTTCCTCTGTCTACAGGGGTTACCTGGGCGGAGATGCGCACCTTCTTTTTCGTGCCATTCAGGTACTCCTTGTACATGTCCGAGCGGAGGTACCGCGGATAGGAGTCGTTCTTCATCAGCTGGTACACGTGGCCGGCGGCCTCGTCGAAGATCCACCGGTTGTTCGGATTGTTCTCCATGTTCTTCTTCGTGATCTCATAGGACTTGGAGTCGATGTTGATCGGGCAGTTGGCATCTGCGAGAAGGTGAGAGGGAAGAAAAGGCTCGTCGGTAATTGGCGAAGCGACCTGAGAGCTCGCCAACATACCAGACCCCAGATATTCAATCCAGATCTCCTGCACCTTGCACGACACGTCGCGACTGTGCACGCACTTCAGCTCTTGCACGGCGTCCCAAAACCTGATGCAAAAGAAAGAAGAAAGAAAAGAAGAAAGAAATGGAAAATGGAGTTATAAAGAGGCTATATCACGATACTAGAGGCGTCTAATCGTCCGGCACGTCGTCTAGGTGTATTACTTTAAATTTTCAGCCGAGAACTCCTTCTCGAGGAACTTGAAGAACTGTTCGCGACCGGCGGCGTCTTTTAGCAGCTCCTTCAGAGAGAAGGCCCACCGCCTCACTCGGCGACATGGAACGTCTTTCCTGTAATGAAAACAAAAATGAATTCCTTTGTCCCAAAAGAACCAAGCCATCCAGTTTGCTCACGTTTGCCGTTCCATCTCCCAGAACTCGGTGGAGTCACAGATCCAGGGATTGGTGGGCGTCTGCGAAGAGGAGGAGTAGTTGGGAGGTAGAGAGGTGGTTAGTGACTGCAGCGGCACGACCAGGTGCCTCACCCCTTTGCTGGGCTCGAGCGGCGTCACGAAGGGATCGTACTCGTTCCACTGGTCGTAGAAGGTGCCGTACGACTCGGCGATCTTGCTGATCTTCACGCCGCCGATGCGGTGGTCCAGGCGGATGCGCAGCATGTCGCACTCGCGCTTCAGCAGCTCCGCCTTGTCCGACTCGTTCACCGGGCTGATCCGACCGCCGCCCACCGCGATGGCGATGTGCTGATGTGAGGTGAGGAAAAAACAAAACAAACCGAAAGAAAGGAAACAGAAAGAAATAAAGTAGTAAAATAGAGCGCAAAACGAAAAGAGAGGAGAGGAGAGATAGAGAAACAGAAGAGAGGAAAAGAGAATAATTAGCTTTCAATGATGAACAGATGCAAAAGGAAAAAGGTGGTGAGTGTTGTTGAGAGCTGAAGAGGGAAACGAGGAAAAGGTAATAAGGAGACTGAGAGGTAATTACCGTGGAAATCTTCACTTTGGTACTCTTCACTGGTTTGTTCATTCGACACGCCTTTTTGATGTCAATTTCGGTGGTGTTGACGCTGCCAGGCTGAGGAAGTGGGAGAAGGAAAAAGTTGTAATTACCCAGCTTTTTCTAATTCACCAATTTCAACGCTACTGACCACTGGTCGATGAACATCCCAGAAGGCCCTCTCCTGACTGTCGAGCACCTTTCGCTCCAGTTTGTCGCGTTTCTTGTCCACCCTGTCATTAGTTGAGAGAAAGAGAAAAAAGGAGCATGCAAAATTAGGCAACTCTAGGGTCTAAGAAGAAGGTCGGAGCACCGCCTCTGCCACCACAATCGAAAAGTCGTACTTTGCTTGAGCCTCCGCCTGCATGAAGATGAACTCCCACTTTCGGCTGAACATCTTCTGCAGACGGGCCAGGTTCTCCGCCTCGTAGTCGGCCAGCTCGAGGCGGGTTTTGTTCTGCATTGTTCGCTTGCACAGGTACACCGCGTAGTCGGTGTTCTCCGGCTCCCAGCAGTTGGAGGGCCAGAAGTAGGGCGTCTGGAAGCGGTAGAAGGTCGAGTCGGCCTTCACACTGTCCAGTAGGAAAGGTAATATAAGATGATGATGATGATAAAATGTGACAGTTCAAACCTGAGCACATGGTCGTCGATGGGGAAGAAGTACCCGTGAGAGGCCATCAGATTGGCCAGGTGCAGCGCCTCCAGCTGATCGTCGAGCTCTAGCTCACGCATCATCCACTGAATGAGGTCAGAGCCTAAGAGGGAAAAAGGGAATAAGTTCATCGTAACAGCCAAGTAATCTTTCTGTCTGTTACCTGTGAACACACTGGGTATTTTGGACATAAAACTCTTCACCGTACGAACGGGCACGCCGACCTGTTCGTCTTGCATCTTTTCGATGATTTGCTCCATCTGCATACATAGAACCATTTGCCATTAGCAGTTGATCAATTTTTCTGTCAGACCAAAAAGGACTCACCTTGTTATAGACAATTTGATTTGGATTCCAGTTCTCATAGTGA